TAGAACAATAGCTTTAATATAAAATCACCCATAGTTATAAATGATATTAATATGAATATATCTACTTTAAAATAGGTAATTTTCAATTTATTTTTACTACTTTGGATTTAAATACTTATTTGAGATTTTTTTTTACCTTATAAATAACAAGGGAAATCTTGCTTTAATGCATTTTAAAATAATAGATGTTTCTTTTTGTTGTCAGCTTTTAATAATGACCAATTTATTTTTCTAAAACTCTTTGGAAACTATGATATATAGATAGGTGAAAAATTATCATGGTACTAATAACGAAATTCTAATCTCAAAGATCATGGGCTAATAATTTAACATTATGTGTACAATAAACTAAGTAATTTTAGCAGGATATAACATAAATTAAAAGTTTCATCATTACAACTAAACGTAGATTTGAAAATAAGCATTATTTTATTTGTACAACATGGACTGTTAACAATAGAAAAAATGAATTTTTATTTAAGTAATATAGAATATTTCAAAAGACTAGTTATAATATAAAACCATGATTAGAAAATTGATAATTGGATGTAAATGATATTTAGGATATCTTCGATAATCAATAATTTCGGTTGCTTGGCATAGCAAACTTAAATTAAAACTGTCTTATTTCCTTTCATAATGCGCTTTTGAACAATTTGGAAGATCGTTTTCATCCTGATAATAAGCCATTGACTAAATAAATACTAAAGTACTTAACCGATTGTTATATCAAATAAATTTGAAAAATAATTATTTATTTAAATTAATACTTTTGCATCCAATAGTTCAGTTTGTTTTGAATATTATATAATATATACAAATAAATATTATAACCCTTGAGAATCATAAGGTAAAACTCAATTTTAGACATTTAATATTCATATTCTTAAGTTAATTTTACTCGCTATACATACTGTCCGCGGAGAAAAAATCGATTTGGTGTTATGATATTATTCTGGTTCTTGATTTTACTGACTAGATAGGTACAATATAGTTTAGAAAAAAAAAAATTACAATCAAATTTCAGCAAGTTTGCAAGGAAAATAATTTATTATTTGATGGCATTCAAGAAGATTGAAAATTAATTGGCTTATTTTATTTTTTAAATGATTTTTAAAAATGAACCTTAATAAACATCCAAATCATTCTAAAATTTTGATTATAAATTAATTATAAGTCAATTTAAGATTAGAGAAACCTTCAGGATTTATTATTACTAGACAGAATGAATATCAATTATTATAAGAATTTAATATTAATAAAATAGATTTAAACATTAAATCATTTCAATTTGCAAAGGAATCATTAATAACTATTTAAAATATATAGGTATTCAATAATGCACACTATGAATAATTAATAGTTATGTTAGTTGATTAAATGTAAGATATATATAGAATAAATAAATTTTCAGTTATAATTGATTGAGTTATATAAGTAATTTATAGCCTCTGGAATTTTTATATTATTTTCATTTACATATATAGAGTATAAATAAATATTAAATCAAATAATTATCTCTAAACCGCAAAGTGAGTTAAGATTTGGATGAATGAATTGCATTAAGTAATTTACTGTTTATTCTCTGGTACAAAAATACCCATCTGTACAAAATTTTGTTTAAATTTATTATCTATTGTAATAAACCATAACTATTTCATTTTTAACAATAATTTCTAATTATGATGCAAATGGGATGATTGGTTGAAAGTCTGAAATTGCCGATAAAATTGCCACTTAATTTGTATCATGTCCTGAATACCAACTAAGAGGAGTAGTGGAATATAATTAAGAGATAATCCATTTGAAAGGTTCAGTTAATTACGCAAAATGTTCCAAAGAATCACAATTATCTTCATAATATCTAAGAAATCTCACAACTTCTTGCATATACTAAATTGCTGATTATGAGGGATTTGGGAATAGAAATCCTTAGGCATGATTGCTTTGATAGTCATCAAAAATATCTTGAATATCTGATAAAGTAATGGATTTCTTTTTAAAGGATTTGCTTGGATATGCAGCCTTAATAATATCAAAAACTTCATCAAATTCAGGTCTGTTTTTAAATTCTTCTTCTTTTGATTTAAAATATTCACTAGATTCAATTTTTTTTTTCAAATCTTTAATTGCTGGACATATAGATTTTTTATGTCCATGAAACATGAAATCATTTGGTCTTTCAAAATAATGAAGTTCTAATTCAAGTGGGTTTTGGAAATCTGAAGACATAATCTAGTTCCATGCTTCAATATTTGTGGAATATTTAGCGTAATATTCATTGAAGTATCTTTTGATTATTTCTTAAAAATTATTTGGACATAACCCTTTTAGGAATCCTATAGTAGACATAATAACTCTCTAGGTTGTAGATGCTTAAATTTCTAAATTTTCATAAATGCAATTTCCATTTATATCAATAATAGATAATCCATTTTTACTCTATCCTAAGTTAACATGTTATTATAATCCTATTTCAGTTAAATCTTCTGGTTAAATTGTCCAATAATATGTGCTATCAATTTCAGTATACACTTTTGGTGATCTAGCACCGTGTCGTGTTATCAATATTGACTTTTAAAGGCAGGAACCCAAGGTTAATAGAATGAAAATTGCGAATGCACTTGAAATATTCATGATTTTATAATTAATTATCTTAGGATTTATTCTAATCATTATAAATGATGAAATAGACATAGTAAATTTATGTATTAATAAAATGTCATATGACGTTATAAAAATAATTAACTTTATTATAATAATATGTAGAATATGAGTATTAAATATTAATTCTAAATAAATATCTAAACATCTCTTATTTGCCAAGATCAAAAATCAAAATAATCAATATCATCAAACAATATGAATAAATTCATATACTAACTCGGTCTTTCTTGTTGTATATTGGAATTGATGAAATAATAATATTTTTAAGGGAAAGTTACAATTAACTATTGCGACTCAAAACTGAAACATAATTACTTGAATATCAATACTTCAAGATAAGGTATGCATATTATTATGATACTTACTTTTCTTTTTTTAATAATAAATTATAATATATTTTGATTTCAATGAAAATCAGATAATTATTTAATTATAGCTAACTAATTAATGAAATGATAAAATAATGCTTATTATTGAAATTTGCATAATTTAAGAATAATGGATAATGAATAATAACAATTAATATTTTTTAAAAATAAGAAATAATCTATATAGAATTTTATTTTTAATAAAATTTGTTTAAAAACTAAAAATGTAAACATTTAATTCAATCATAATTATCAATTCCCAGATTAAACGCAAAGCTACTAAGTTATTAAATCTCCCTTTAAAAATGGCGATGGGGTATTTCCATTTTATTGCATTGCATTAGCAGAGTCAGGTGAGGATGTTTCTATGATTAATTTGTAGTAAAAATTACATTATAAATGTTTTAATCTTTATTCTCTCTTTTGGAACTCTGCAAGTTTTTATTCATCTATTTACATCGCATCACCTGAAATCACTCCCAACTAATAGATTTAATCTTCTTATTTTTGTTGTATGCGCTTTTGTTTGTTTAAGTCCTCTCTGCAAAATGGACAGGTCTATGTATATTTGTGATTTGCTTACATGATTTCTTTTCCTCCATTCATCTATACAAGTAGAATGAAATAAATGTAGGCAATATGTTAATTTGACTAGGTCTTATTTCTAAAATTCCACAAGACATATTTAACAATCAGAAATTTCTACTAATCCGGGGTATTCCTGAATAATTTATTCATACAATTCCACTGGAATATAATCCTATCTAAGACTTCTATTAGTATTTCCCTTAACTGAAAATGATCTTAGATTAAGATTGTTTAACGCTCCATTATTTATTCTTCTGGTCTTTCTTTAAAAATAAATCACACATATAATTATTAGTAAGGCAATTATTAGAGCCCCTAAAGCACCAGCCAAGATATAATATATTTCCAAACCAGAAGTGTCATCTTAGTTGGTACTAATGTAGAGTTTTAACGCAACTTAGGTTTTGTATGTTTGATCATTAACTAACAATAAGATAACAAAATTTTCCATTCTGAATCCCAAAGTTTATTCTATTTTATTAGTATTATCAAGGCAATACTGAATATCATCTTTTGAATATCTGATTGTTCCAGTCGAAATTTCAGTTTGATAAAATGAATTACTCTCAGAAAATGGAATAAAGTCTTTGTCGTGTTGGCATCCAATATATGTTTTTATACTGGCATTCGTATTTACTTCAATTTCTAAGGAAGCTGGGTTAGACTTTAAAGGAATGGTTAGAATATTTTTAAAAGACTTTTCTTTCAATTCAAACTATAATTATAATGTAATATACCTAAACCAAGCTTGGGGCATTTATAACAGGACTTAATAATTAACAAGTGCTATCAATATAACCTTCATTGCATTAACAAAATAGTATTTAATTACTCATACACAAACCATAATTATTGCATTAACTAATTTAGATGAAAAAATAACTTATAGCATTCTCCTTTCTAGGAACCCTTAATTATGATGGTGTATTAAGAATCATCAGATGAATAGATATAAATGGAGATTTGTTTTTCGTTTAACTTATATATGCTAAATTTATTATAAGCCCACTCGTTTTCATCATTGATTTAATCTGATAATACAATCTGCTAAACGCGTTATGAATATAACAAAGCATTGTTATCGAACACACATAATTTCCTAATGATCAATTCTCATTGCTTACTTATTTGATTCAATTTGTTTCTTTATAGCATCAGGAGAGCTGACAATCGATTTTATAATTTATTGATTCTTTGTATTGCAATATGCTAAAAAAGGAACAGTTGAAAGTGAATTATTTTCAAGTATGATATTTATAGTAGTTGATCCTTAATTCAAATCATCATATTTCTCCAGATCAATATCAATAGCATTAAAACCTCTAGTTCTATAGAGTTTCTTTGAATAAAGAGCATTTGTTTAAGATATCAATAATAGTAGTACAAATATCATAAATGAATTTTATAAAGATTTTATAAATATCGCATATTTTAATATTCATGGCATTATACCATTGGTCATTCTTTGGAAATTATCATACTAAATTGTTCTCCAATTATTATCACTGTAATCAATTAATTTTTCAACATATTTTTACAATTCTTCATCGTTAGCCTCCTCTTTGAAACGATCTCTAAATTCTTTGATGTCAAATCTCTCGAAACACGGCAAGTCACTATCCTACATCATAACCTCGATGATCATTATTATCTCATCAACATAACCTTATAGTGCTTTGAATCCCCTATACATAAGATTCTTATAATATAAAAAAAGATCAGAATTTCTTCCATTCATTAAGTCAATATATTCTTGAGTCAATTTAAAAGGAGCCTTTTCAAAATTCAGATTTCCAGGAGAAATGCATAAAATAAATCCAAAATCAATATGTATTAATCTTCCCTTACTGTCGATCAAAATATTACCATTGTGTCTATCCTTTATTTATAATAAATAACTTATAATTGAATAAGAAGCAAGACTCTGAATGAATCTCATTTAAGCTTCTTCAAAATCCTATTGAAATATTTCTTTATAAATATGAACAAGGGATTTGCAAGCTGGGTACTTCTTTTTCAAACCATCTATAGAAATAGTATCTGCACAAAATTCCAGAATACCTGAACTTGCACTTACAACTATAATTTCATAAGCCTTCACATACATATTCAAACCATGACTCTAAAATGCCTAATACATCTTATAAATAATTTGCATGGTCATAAGTTCTTATCTTAAATCATCTCCTCCTTTAACAATAATAGGTTTCAGACGGTAAGTTTCAAAATGTTGGTACGGACTTTCTCTCTTTATCATTTCAGCTCTATCTTCCCATAATTCATCCCATGGCCCAAATTTACTATGTAATTCTATTCCATCCTAATGGATATCAACTTTATTTTTTTCTAATTTTTTCTCAATCAAATCATATTAAAGATGTACATATATTTTTTTTAAAACCTCTTCTTATTTGGGACAAACTAAATTATTTAACTCAATACATAATATCAACTCTTTAAAGAATTTGACTCTCCCTAGTGCAGTTAATTATTTTATGGATTTGTGTTTATGTCTAAATCCATTTCTTGAATTCTCCTTATATAGCTTTAACCAATAATTTTTATCCTTTCTCTAACCTTGCTATCTATATTTGCTATTTAATTTGGGAATGCATGATTAAGTTCTCTCATTAGTTTTCTCAGGGAATAAAATATTGAACCTTTTAAATAATGTGATTTGTTTACCGTTGTCTATTTTTTTAGAATTTTTCTTCCTCTATTGCATTTGTACATTACTTATATATTTATAGATTTTTCATTATTTGTTCTTTTAAAATTAATTCCTAATCTTACTCATTCTCTGTAGTTTTCTCTTTTTTAGTTAAATAAACAGCACTCATCATCTCTTTAAATACTTTCATTCCATTCTTTGGTTCTTTATTTTATGTTATTTTCATAAGATCATTATATTCTTTTTTATTTCTATTTTTAGCCAATTCTTCCATTTTTTTTTCTATTACCTATTTATTTGGTTGATTTAAATCAGCTTATAAGAAGTCTTCCATAGTATCATCATCTAAATTAGCTAATGATCGATTATTGGTGATTGAATTATTTGTAGTCTTTTTTGGTTGTTTATATTTCAATTCATGAGGACTAGAATAATGTTTTCAAATACTCTATGGTTTCTACAACTATTCTATAGGGAACCCTTTTTTTTGTGTTGAAACATGAGCATTCTCCCTCTATAATTCTAACTACTAAATTTGAATGCACTGCAACATTTTAATCTTTGCTCATAGTAAAAGGTACTGTAATTCCTTAGCAAAAGTAATATTCTTAATGTTTTAATCGGTATTTCTCTAATGCTACATTAGCTCTTGTAATAAAATTTTTTAATTTTGGCTTTCTTTCTTCTGGTTTATATGTTTTAAGTATCAAGGACATTTAAATCAGATTATTTAGATAGAGATCTACAACATTTTGGTATGATTTTAATTATAAATTAGGAATTTTGACTGCACTGTGATCATTGTGTAATGTTAACATTGATTATTCAAATTACTAGAATAGTAATTGTAATTTTTTACATCATCTATTCTTTACAACCTCTTCATTTTGTTCTTATCTGTTCTATCTCTGTCAGAATATGAGACCCAACACCATTTAACTAATTAATACAATGCAATGCTTTTGTTACACAATGTTGTTATGAACTTCTCTAAATAAGGGGAATCATTCTTTATAAGTATATACCTAAATGATATCAAAATGTTATATACACTAATTAAGGAATAAAGAACTCTAATTCTTCTTATTAAACCTAGTATAATTTATTTGTTAAGAATTAATGAGGTCCACTCTCTTTTAGCTTATAAAAGTAATAATAAATGAGTTTATTCACTTCTATGTTTTGAGTATTAAACATCTAATAAATTGAACTAATGATGTAATCCTCTCTTGGTTGATTGACAGGTAAAAGGATTATTTGATATTTCTTTCTTTCTTCAGAATCCTATTGTTTCCAAGCAGGTAAATAATTTGTACTTTAAGTATTCGAACTTTATTGAAAACGAGAAGGGTTATTCATAAAATTAATATTTAATGTCTAATATTATAAATTCATGCACCAATAGATAATTTTGATCTAGCCACTTATTTTCTTGATTAACGAGCCACCTATTGATTGTTTGCCTCCTTTTTAACATTCTCATCTTTTTCTGCAGCCCACAATTCAATATGAGCGTTGGATGATAAAAATGCTGCAATATTTTAATTTTTTACGATTAATTCTTCCGTGTGCTCTGTAAGTTCTACGTCTACCCTTTTATGCTCTATTCACTTAGACATGATTGATGATCAATTTCTCATTGCTTAAATTCTTAACTTATGCATTAGCTGCCAAATTTTACAATAATGATAAAACAATTCTTACACTCTTTTCAGGCCATCTACCTATATGATTATTACAATGCTCAATATACCTTATGATCTGCCGAATTCTTTTGCTTATCCAGTTCTACCAACTCCACCATTGAAACGAGTGAATGGAACACATCTCTTGTGTTATAATACATCTTATAAATATTTTAATGCTTATGCAAGTGTTTATCCTTTAATTGCTCTTGCCACTTCATAAGTGTTTTTGAAATGTGTTCTTAAATCACTGGCTCTAGCCTTACATGATTTCTTAGCAACAGCTGGCTCTCTGGCGTATTACTTACCCATAAATATTGAAATCTTTTATTTATTTTATTTAAAAATTGTGAATATTTATAATAAATTCACTTTCCAAAACCATTTCCCAAATCAAATTTATTAGCATATTTTTAAAACAAATCTTTATCATAATCTTAGATTTTCTTTTTCATGTCCTACTTCATATTCATATATTTGCTATCTCCCATATATGTTCTTCTCATAACATCTTAATTTTAGAATTCCTTAAAGAATTCATTGCTCGTTACCAAAAACTATCATACAAAACTTCACTACTTTTTTTTTTTTATCTACTTAAGCATTAACATTCTCTTAAACTTTATTTCTAAAATATTCTTCTAATGTCATCCCATTATAACTATTCGGATTAAAATTTTAAGCAGTTCTGCTTTATATTGCAGTACGATTTCTTTACGAATTCTAACTTATCATTCTCCTTTTATCCAGTCGAGAACATTTCGATGTCTCAGGTCTTTATTCTCCACGCTCTTCACTCATTAATTATTGAAAATATTAATATTATTACTCATCTGTTAATAAATATATTTCATAACCTTTTAGTATCACTAGAATTAATCTTCTAATTCATCTCTCGGAGTATCTCTTTTCTAAGAGCTAGTTTGAGTTTCTAAGAACTTGTATGAGTATCTCATTTAGCTTTCCTTGATTCCCAACTAATTAAGAACCCAAATATTGTTGTCCTGCGATCTGTAACACCTTAATAATCCCAACTAATCATACCATTATTAATGAATTGGAGTATTGCCAGCTAAACTTTAAGATTCGCTTGACAGATCTCAATAATTATTAATTATGCTTTACCAACCAAAATCTCTAACAGTTTAGTTTGCAATTCTGATATACTTTCTTGTTTGTTTAATTCATTAACAATCTCCAATATTTGCTCATCCTTTTATATTAACAAATCTAATAAACCACAATCCAATACCTTTTAGATATCCCTTCTAAGAACTAGATATGATATTTCCTTAACATAGAACATATAATCCATACAAATATTTGCCTTCCTTAGTTGATATTTAATGCATATTATAGTAAATTATAAATAAATACATTTTATTAAAGTTTTCCAGAAATTTCAAACATCTGTTCTCTATATTGAAATCATGAATAAAAGAATGAGGATTACACAGTCTGTTCTAAATTTTCACAATGGATTGATAAGAAGAATTCTACAAAGAATAACCACCAGCATTTCACTCTTTTCAAGTAAATAAGCATATTAAATAGATTATATCAACCAAATATTTTAATTTATTGAATTAGTAAAATATTAAATATATATGACACTATTAGTTTATACGTATAATTTAACTAAGTATGATTCCTAATAAGAATATTTAAAAGAAATAGATAATAGGTAAATAAAATTTTTGTGTTGCCATTTGTACAATAATAATATTTTCAAATATCAAATTTCACACCTTGAGCAAGAGGCAATGTCTTACCAAAGTTAATTGTGCATGTAGATCTTCTCATATAAGTCTTCCATGAATCACTTCCTGATTCTCTGCCTCCTCCTGTTTCTTTTTCACCTCCAAAAGCTCCTCCGATTTCAGCTCCTGATGTTCCAATATTCACATTTACTATTCCACAATCTGATCCTAAAGGTCCAGTCCATTTGTATGAATTGCTTAAATTGGAAGTGAATAATGAACTACTCAAACCTTATGGAACATTATTATTAATTTCAATTGCTTCATCTAAGGTATCATATCGAACAATGAATAAAATAGGCATGAAGAGTTCATGTTATAAAATAGGGTGATCAGCTTTAACCTCAAAGATCGTTGGTTAAACAAAGTTACCTGGACCTTCAATTACATTTCCTCCATAAAGTAATTTTCCTCCTTAGGCTTGGATTTCAGGTATGACTTTCTTATATTATTCAACTTATCCCTTTGTATGAAGTGGACCACATAAGGTATCTACAATATATGAATTAATTACCATCATTTAAAGCATTTCCAATTTTAATGGTGCCATAAACCTTGACCATTTTTTGAATGAATGTCTCAGCTATGCTGTTATGCAACAACAGTCTTCTTAAGGATGTGCATCTCTATCCACATGTACCAACAGCTGCAAATACAGCAGCCTTGAGTGCTAAATCAACATTGGCATCTTCATGAACAATCTAAGCATTATTTCCTCCTAATTCCAATAAACTTCTGGCTAATCTGGAAGCCACCTTTGCAGCAATGATTTTACCAACTTAAGTGGAACCTGTAAAGGATACTAATGGAATTCTCTTATCACTTGTAATAGCTTCTCCAATTTACACTCCATCTCCACAAATAGTGAACACTATACTTGTTGGCAACTAATTGATTATATATATTATCAATTTACTCCATTTCTTTTAAAAACTTCATGAATGATATTGGTACACGCTATGGATGATAAATTTGTTGATGGTGCTCCTTTCCAAACACAAACATCACCACAAATTAATCCAAGTGCTAAATTCCAACCTAATACGGCAACTGGAAAGTTAAATGCTGTGATAATGCCGACAACACCCAAGGGATTCCATTATTCCATCATGAAATGGGATGGTCTCTCTGATGGGATTACTAATCCATATAATGATCTTGATAATCCACAGGCCATATCACAAATATCTATGATTTCTTGGACTTCACCCAAACCCTCTGATTTTATTTTACCCATCTCCAAAGCAACTAACATTCCTAAAGCCTCCTTCTATTTTCTAAACTCATCTCCAATTTATCTAACAATATCCCCTCTTCTTGGAATAGGTAACTAATTTCAAAATATCAAATACTTCAGCCCACATATTCTTAACCTTCAAAAGTTCTTACATACCTTGTTCATATTATTAGAGTGTTCCTAATTTCACTTTTGCAATTGCCTCTCCTGTGTTTGGATTATAACTAGTGGTCCACTCTCCATCTCCTACCCATGTTCCACTTAAAGAAGCTCCATAGTTTTCAGCTTTCAAACCAAGTTAAGCCAAGAATGGGTATTTGTCAAATGTTAACATTTACACTTTTATTTATGACGTACGATTTTTAATATCTGTGTATGTAAAAAATATTCATCAATCTGAAATATCTGAACTAAACAATACAAACCTTTCAAATTCTTAAATCTTTGGCGACTCTTCTGGAGATACTGAAACTAAATTCTACACTTAACATTAGGTTTGTGGTGATCTATCTTAATCAAAGAATTTCAGATCTTCTTCTTTCTTAAATATTTTTTTTATATTTTCCATTCCTATTTAATTTACCAAAACCAGTTGAACACGAGACAATTCCTAAATAAGATTATTGAAAGTGAACTTTGCTCTAGCAATTTCTAGTAATTCATTGTATGTGTGCTAAAATTATGTTAACTTAATTTCAACGCCTTTATAACGCGCTTCCTTTATCTATCCTAAAATGTTCTTAGTTATTTAGACTTATTTAAATTGAGGATAATAAATTTCAATTATTTAATGCAATATTGTACTCTCCAACATCGCTGTATTAATCATATTGGAGAGTATTTTCAACAACATTATGATATTAATTATGGACCCAATCTGAGCCAATACCTCTCCTAATTTAGGCATTAAAATAGTCTCATTTGCTTCTATGTTATCAATCCTGAAGACGAATGTACCCAAAGTTTCGAAATTGAATTCAGAACCATCCATAGTCTTTACAGTATCCTAAGCAAATTTCTTTGTTACAGATTAAGTTATAACTTAATAATCCTTTATCACATCAAAGTATTCAAAGCTATTAAATAAGATTCCCTTATCAACAGTTGTTCGTTATTTTTATAGGATTACTTAAGAATAAAATGGGCTACTTTCTTCAAAAGCAAAGAATTATGTCTTTTTAATTTCATCAAATTCCAAAGTCTCATAATTGTATTACTACAAATTTATTGACAAAAATAATAACCCATGATTGATACTGAAATAATCGTCAATCGCTTATTGATCAGCACAATAGCCCCCTTCTTCCATCCAATCTGAGCGACATTTTGTGAAAAAAATAAAATATTACTTAATATCTTCCTGATCTGCTGCTTTTGTCCCATCAACTTAACTTAAAACTAGTTTTCCTTGATCAATTGTTACAACATTTTTATCTTCATTTACTTATATTGTGCTATATAAAAATCTAGGTTGAGCAGAAACCAATAATCCAGAGATTTCCAACAATACTGGCATAATAATGTTGTTTTATTTTGTGAAGGGATTAATCTTGGTGCTTAAATCATATAAAGTAAAAGAGATTTCGCCATTTTGCCATTCATAAGTAGTATAATCTATCATTTTTTGAGAGGCTGTAACTTTAGGTATTAATTGTCCATTAATCCATTGTTGTATCACATAAATGAAATAAGCTAAGCTTAACATCATTATTATGATTGCTATTACTCCACTCTGAGATGTCTTAAACTGTTCTTATTGTTTAATGGTTTTCAACTTAATGGGCACACCAAAAATGTCAAACTTTTCTAAAATGGCTAACATAATTAAAGACAGTTTCGATAATTTAAAATAATGTATAGTAAAATATCTTGTGCTTATGTAAATACTCAAATTCCGATAATGCTCTCGACTCCTGCTTGTAATTATGAAATCAACTATATCAATTTTGGCTATGTTTGTTCGATAGTTGATTAAGCAATCATCATTTTTGATTATTAACTTGGTTTTGGAATATCTATATTAACTTAACCATTCTAAGTAATAAGATTTAATACTTACTTTTGGTTCTAAACGAATTTAATCATAAATTGCCCTCTTCTTCTTGATATCAGATTCTTCTGGAGGATTGACTAGATTACCTAAATCTACAAATTTTGATTTGATCGACTAGGTTGCAGCTGCTAATTTTTCCTTTAATTCTTTCTTTATCCTCTCATTTTCCTATTACTTTTATTATTGGATTTTTTCTATTGAAGACGCATTACCTAAATTATCGTTTTGCTTAATAGTGTCTTCTTTAAAAGGCTGTTGTTGATCCTTGATATGCTTTTGTTCTCCTTTGGTCAAGAATTTCTTGAGAGTTCGACACTAATCTGCATCCACAATTTGAAGCAATGTCTTAAAATAGTTCTATAATCCAGCCTTTCTGGTAGAAATAAATTCAGGATCAGTATTTCCGAAAAATTTTTTGGCTGGAAAAGAGGGAAGTTGTTGTTTAAGTTCTGAAGATAATTGAGTGTGTAGATTGTTCAGACTTTTATACCTTTCTTCAAAACTCCATGAGACTTTGGTTTAAGTATTTAACACCTTAGATATTATGCCATATAATACTTAAATTTGGTAGTAAACAATATCTGACCTGGTTTCAGTGTTCACAATTTTCAATTAATATACTGAGTTATGTGATTATTACATCTAAATATATAAAATTAAAAAAAATAAAATTTTAATCTCGTCCTTAAGGTTTAAGAAAACCATTCAAAAATTATCAGATTTCTTATTATTAGATCCTTTACATTAACAATTATATTCTAAAACTAAAATCTTTCATTTTATTTTAATCCAAAACACAAGTAATCCAAAAATGAGTAACTACAGAGCTAATAAATCTTTTTTGTTTACTTTGTAATATCATATTAAAATGAAATTATTCAAATCTATATTTTATAAATAATAAAAAAGCTAAAATGGACGTGATTAATAAAGAATCTTTTTTTGACGACCCTGATGCTACAGTGTTTTGGAATGTCACTGAGTATCCAACAAAAGATGCAGCTTTGGATTTGCAGGATATAATGTACATAGATTAAAATTCAGAATTGCATAAAGGAACTCTAGGTATCTCTAATCACTATTTACTTTATTTCAAAAAGCAAGTAAGTTTGGTACAATAACCAATAGGCTGTAAAGAAGTGGGTCAATTTGGATAATGCTACTATTGAATATACTAAACATTAGAAGGTAGGACTGGGAATAAAAATAACCAAAAATAAACAATATTTCGAGTTCTTTGGAGACGTAGAACCGTGGTACAATTACTTGAAATAATTTTGTATTCAAAGGAACTTTTCTCACCATTACACTTTACTGAAAAAGATTGGATAAGGAAATTTTGCAGATGTAAAGAAATTCATTTAATCTAGGTGTTCAAAGCAGTAAACAAGAATGATGGATCTGAATATGCAATTAAGTGTTTCAGAAAAGCAAAATTAAATGAAACCGTTGACAGATTGGCTATAATCAAGGAAATATCAATTATGAAAAAAATTCAGCATGAATCCGTCATTCGTTTATATGAGGTTTTTGAAGGAGATGAATTTTTATTCTTAGTCTTAGAATATTTGAAAGGGGGCGAATTACATTAATATATGAAGAAATCACCTCCATTTTCTGAAGAAAAATGCGCTAAATTCATTTTTAGATTATTGAAAGCAGTTTCATCTATTCATGAAAAAGGAATTTTGCATAGAGACATCAAACCTGAAAATATCATGCTTAGAAATAAGGAAGATGTCGATAATATTTGTATAGGGGATTTTGGATTGGCTGATTATTATTCACCAAGTGGATAATACTTATTTACCAGGTGTGGCACTCCTGGGTATGTTGCTCCAGAATTATTGTAGGATAAACTCTATGATTTCAAAATTGATATTTATAGTATAGGGATTCTAATGTTTATTCTGATAGCAGGTAAATCACCATTTGATGGTAAGGATTACGATGATGTTGTGATGAGAAATTATTATGCAAAGGTCAAATTTGATGAGTGCAAATTAAGTGATATAGGGATGGACTTACTTTAAGGACTTATGAACAAGAATCCTATCAAGAGACTGACTGCAGAAGAGGCTTTAAGTCATCCTTGGTTTGCTAGTGAAAACTTAACAAAAGTATGCTAATTCAAAATTAGAAAATCAAACCAAACTACATTAAAGAAATTAGCCTATTTTGATATGAACATTAAATAATATTCAGCCATTTCAACTTAATTTAGTCCAAAGAGTTCACTATCCAACCTCAGTCCTTATTGTGTTACAAAGTGCAATATTGAGGATAGCCCTCAGACACCAAACACTCCATTGATTCTTAAACCCATCAATACTCCTAGAACACCAGCTACGTATAAATTACGATAGGGTCGAAGAACTTAAATACCTCTTCAATAATTATGATTTAAATTTATGTATAAAATTAATTATTCTGTGATTTATCAAACTTTATGGTACAAAATTGATAATTATTATTAATAAAAATAAAAAATTTAAATTAATTTTAAGATATGTGCGAAGATTTGAACCAAAGGTAATTTAAGTTTGCTATATAGTTGTAATTATAAAAATTGCCATTCTTTTTTTAGATTTCCTTTTAAGAAATGAAGTTGAATAAATCTAATCTACCATTTATTCCCACTGTGTTTAATATTGAGGATGAGGTCAACTATTTGAGCAGAAAATAATAAATTAAGAAAAGTGCATATAAACTTTAAGATCAGTATTTATATTATAAAAGTAAAAATGTAAGCAGTGAATATATAGTTAGGAAAAAATAGTTTGGATTAGCAATGAAAATGCTATTATTGAGTTGATATCTGATTCTGAATTAAGTAGGGGAGTTCGTTTAACAAACTGTTTTGATAAAGATGAATTTTTCGGCAATGCTAATAATTGGTATAAATTATGAAAAGGATTGCAATCTAATGTGATTTCTCTCCTAATTATACTATTACAGTCATGAATAATTTTAAATTTCCTATCTACTTTGACAGATAATAAATGGCCATCCCTTGTATCAAGAAACTGAACAAAATAAAATTTGGAGAGTTTTTAGGGTGAAAAATAAATCAGATAGTTAAGAATATATATTATAAAAATTTACTAAGAATCATTATTCTATGGTGATGAGGAGAGAAAATCATTTTATAAAGAAATATCAGTGACTCGTCAATTATAAACTGATTTAGCAACAAGGTTTTATGATCTATTTGAAAGTCCAGATCAAATATATGTTATTGTCGAAAATTTACCCCCATATACATTTCAAGAGTATGTTTAAATGAATCCTTTCTTTTCGGAAGAAAGGCTGCCAAGGCCATTTTTAGAATAATTAAAATAGTTGCCTATCTTCATTCTAAGAAAATCATGCATAGAGACATAAAACTAGACAAATTTATCTTTAGATAATTGGAAAATTTAGATAGTTTTAAGTTTAACAGATTTCAAGTTAGCCGAATTCTATGATGACGAAGGAAGTTATCTATAATAAAGATGTGGAACCGTAGAATATGAGGTCCCTGAAGTCTTAGCTGACTAAAACTATGATCTCGAATGTGATGTGTATTGTGTCGGAATTCTACTCTTTATTCATAAGTGATTTTAAAAAAGAGAAAAATTAATTAGGGAATTACAATTAAAATCAAGTCTAAGTTGTAACATCAAAATAAACCATAAAATTTAATTACATCCTTGAAAAATTCATTCCCATTTTTACAAATCAATTCTGCTCCTCACCTTTCTAGTTCAATTATGTTTCAGACTAAAAACATAGCCGAATTCTTAACCTCTTGAAAGAGTTCATCAACTTGAAATATAAAGAAGAACACCAAACTTACTTCCTTCAAATTCGATATTTGATAGAAGAATTAATTGAGAAATTAAAACTACAATTCTCTTTCAATTCTGATTATTTTATAAATATTTTAATTATTGATAAATAAATAGTTCATTAAAAGTTATTTGAAGGAATTTTACTTAGTTCACATTATTATTTAATTGAATCTTTTAATTAAAAATGGGTATTGTTTGTGGTTAACCTCTGAAATCTAAGTCTTTAGAGTTCCATACTTCAAGACCTTTAACTCAGTCAATAAAACAAGAATAGGAAAATGTTGAACTTGAGGATCAGGACCAGTGTTTTTGCCCATCCTTAACTAAGAATTATATTTTAAATCCTAGATTTCTTATTACAGAGGAATCTAAATGTGAAAGGGAAGAATAGCGCCTAAACACCGATATTAACAGAAATTCTTCATTATTATCCTTAGGTATTTAAAGTGAACTTAACAATTTAAATGAAATACAAGGAAAACAAAAAAACTAAAATAAATTAAAGCCAGACATCTAAAATTCTAAAAGAATGAGTTTAGAACAGAGGTATAAAATTGCAACATCCCCTTCGTACTGCAGGAGACGCATTAACAATAATCCTAAAAGTCCATTGACAGCAATTCTTTAGACGAACAAAAATTCAACAAAGTAAAAGGAACAAATGATTCTTTCGAAAGGAAAGCGAAAATTATCTAATAGAGACCAAAAACTAGTATGAAGAAGAAGGATATGAATAATTCAAAATACTTATATATTTAACTTCCTTTATAACAAATAAGCTCCTTCTAGTATATCTATTTTTATCATTTTATTTAAAGATTGCTTTTTCTTATTTCTCTGCTAATTTTTTAGTTCTATTCCCTCATATAATACTCAAACATTGTCTATTGTGGATAGCTTACGTATATTAAATTTCATTTTTCGAAAATCAATTATGATAAATTTCTAATTTGCTGATATATAATTTATATATATCTAAATAATTCAAATTGTAAATAATAAACATTTTCAGCGAATCAACTATTCTGGACCTCCAATAATTTATTATTAAACCCAAAATTAAAAACTACATCTGTCTTTATTCAGTCTTAATTTTGAATGAAATAATAAAATTATGGAACATTTCAATTAATGAACGACATATAATAAACATACATTTATCTATATAGATTAAAATAATTAGTTCAAGAAATCTATTGTTCTTGGATAAAAGATTTCACTACATTCAATTTAGTCTAAATAATTATTTATACTTTTTTGATGATCTCGATTTCCCTACTTCTTTAAATAGTATTTTATTAATATTAGACCAATAATTCTTAGCATTGTCCTCTTCTTTACTTCATACCTGCCTTTGAGGCTACAAATTCAGCTTAAGCGTCACTTCCTCTTTTTTATTATTGATCTCTAGTCCTTATGGTGTCCTGTAATGATTCATCATCTGCTGCTTTTTCTCTAGTCAAAGCCTACATGGCATTAAAGATTTCATTTAGAGTAACATCATTATCCTAATCGCTCAATAAACAATGAATACTCTAATGGCTTGTTCTTCTAATGCAGTCTCTTCATCGACTGAAGTTATTAAAGAGTCTCTTACAACTTCCATCTTTTCAATTATGGTTTGAATTGACCTTGAATCCATCATAGAGGTAACTTAAACCAAAGCTAAAATCGGATTAGAAGGACCACTGTTAGCTAATTGCACAAAAGAATTTGCAAAGGCTTCTTCCTAAACAAAGGACTGTTTTAATTAGATTAGTTTATACTTCTGCATCACTCTATTAAACTTTATCATATAGTTCATGCATTTTTGGGAGCATGACTTGAAACGCGTTTATCATTTCTTTCAGCTAACCCAATCGTTTATTATAATTCGCTGATTATTTCAATCTTAAATCTCGTAAAGAATTTTCAGCCCCTTAAAAAGTCTAATTAAATCTTTGGATTATTACATCTATCTAGGATTGTTTGAGGTCTAGTTCACTTGTATAATCTTCAATATCTGATTCTAATCTTCCCACTTTGAATTCAACATCATTAATTTCATTTACTGCTAATTATATCCTCTAACTATAACTGTCCATATCGGATTTACATTATGACTAGATGGCTGCATTAGATCCATCTTATTAAATTTATTTTCCCTTTTGATAGATGCATAATCTACTTCAAGATCACTCTTCAAATTTGTCAATAAAGAAACAATACTATCGATACCCTCTCCGCTTTTTATTTGCAAAGCCACTGTTTATAACACCTTCGCTCCCAATGGATTTTCCACAATTTCCTCTAAATCATCAAAACTGGGGTCATTATGCAAAATTTCTTGATTCGCCTGAAATTGCTCGTCATCCTTCCTTCTTACTGCCCTTATTCCGATGAAAACAATAAATAGAAGAAGAGTTTTCATTACTTAAGAAACGGATTATAATAATAATAAAATAAATATATTAAAATTCTTATACTTTTTGGAAATCAACATAGATAACTATTCAGGCGTCGATCAAATCATACTTAGTAGTATTATCCTGTGTTTATTGTTTACACAAGCACATAATTAAGGGATTAGAATGTATAAACTTGGGAGTTCTATTATATATATAAGTCATTATGAAATTTAATCAATCAACTCTATAGAAGTTGGACTTATCTTCTTTGGTAGTTTTTAAAAGCCATTTCATATAACGATAAGAATCTACTGAAATATGGGCAAGTAATAGTTTTGACTTTTTAATGTAGGACATTATCATAATCCTGCATCCATCTTAATTCATAATAGCATTATGATAAATTCAAATTTTTGGTGGCTGCCATATATCTTTATAGGATGTAGAGCAAGACCTCAACCTTTGAATCCTCAGGTTTAATTAAATTTACAAAATGAGCAATTTAGCTTTAAGAGCGAGCTTACAAAAATATATCCACAATTTGTAGATCCAATTTTCCAATTAAGATGAATTTCAACCAAGGCATTTTACAACTGACTATCCGATCAATCGTTGAAAATGTCTAATAGTAATGGAAGTTCTAATGTTTCTAATCTGATTATTAATACTTTAGGTTTTATTCAATCGAGTCTAATAATTCAACATCAAGTTCACCACCACTCAGTATGCTATCTACATATTCAGGAATGAATTTGGACTACAGAATAGCTGGAGACATGTGTTCAGATTTAATTAAAGATTATTGGGTTTCATACTTGACTTGAATAGCAGCAGTAATCAATTTTTAAATAAATGGATTTGCCTTTATGATATTTTTTTGATAGACTTTTGATATCAATATATAGCGATCTGTAAATGAATCAATAGAAGTACCAAATATTGATACTATATAATTAGAATAGACATATTCAATTATTAGATAGAGTAATTTGAAAAAACAACTTAATTGATCCAAAAATGTAGTTGCTAATGATTTATTTTCCTAAAACTATCTAATTATATTTTATTCGATATTTTTGCTTTGAGATGTTCTTTGGTCTGGGAATTATTTCCCTTGAAACCTTTAATTGTCTGACAAACTGCGTTTGATTTAGATATTTTTATTTAATTGAGCATTTATTCTAATATCTCCAGCCTTATAAGCTGAAATAGGTTTTGATTATTAATTTTGACCCATTTCAAAGAGTTCATTGAGAAATTAACTATAATGAAAGATTAGTTAATTATAAATGTGTTTTTCCTTTTGAGCAATATCCCTAGAGATTTTTTTCGATATAACTTATTTTTCTTCTTCAGTTGGGTATTTTCCTTTAATAGATGAATCCAACATTTTTTAATTCATAAATTTCGAAAATGAGTGTATGTCTTTTTCAACTATATTCTAATTAGGACCTATGACTATACCTTGTGAAATTATTTGAAGTACTAGTCCTAGCATTACTCTAAAAATTATGTATTCGTTTAAATTAAAATCTGAAAAACAGTCTTCCCCTTAATTGACTTTCTAAGAGTTGGTTAATCTGATTAAGGAGTCTCTTCTTTATGGCAATAATTTCCCATATAAATAAAAATATAATATATTTAATATAGAATCAGTACAAAATTAATACACATACAAACGCGAGATAGAATACAGATATATTCATTCAAATTAAATTAGTTCTACTTCTTTTCGATTCGGTGAAACGATCTATTGCTCAATATTCCCTTCCTTAAACTCGATAAATTAAGCACTGATATTGGTAGACATCATTTAACAAAACTCATCAAAACTAATCTTCTCGTCATGGTTAGGATCAATTTCATAGATCATCTAATTTATTTTAGTGTCTGTTAATGATTTTCCATGTCTAGCTAAAATCTCTTAGATGTTTTCTTTAGTAATAAAGTTCTTATTCTAAGTATCAAAGTATTTGAATAAGGAAAGGAGCTAATTATATAAAATAACTAATACTTTATCTTTGGTGAGCACTTTTCTCTCATCAATGCAAGCTAATAAAAAGTCACTGTATTTTATAACTAAAGGTTTATAGGATTTAGCAGAAGAGCAATCTTCAGTTTCATCGTCGTTTTCAAACCCTACAGCCATCATCAGTGTTTTAATTTCTTCTTATGAGACTCTGGATCCCTTAATATTTTGAATTTATTCTTACTTCACTCAAAAATGCCCTTTATAATTCTTGATATGTTATGGTTCCAGAATTATCCCCATCAATTTTCTAGAAGACTTTCTTTAAATGTTCCAACTCCTTTTCATTCATCAAATTTATGAGCACTTTCATTACTTCCTTCTTAAACTTGGCACCATTTTTATAATTCTTTAACATTTAATATATAGATCTGCAATCTTCGAAGTAATCACTTGGAGCTGTTTGTCTCAGAGTAGTTGCTTTGGTTTTAGAACGTCTCAAATTAGGTTTATCGACGATATCTAAAGACACATTAAACCAAGGATCTTTTAAGAGATCTTTAGCACTTGGTCTGATCAGTGGATTCTTACATAATACTCGTTTTAAGAAAGTCTTAACTTCCTTTGACATAAAATTCCAATGTCTTCTATCAAAAATTAACTTATTTATTAATGTATGATTACTTCTTGATTTTAAATATTATAAAATAAATCCTTTTTATTACCGGCGTAAAAAGGTGGGTATCCACAAAGTAAATAAAAGAGCATCACTCCAAAACTCCAGATATCACATTTGTCACTATAATATCCATCGATCACCTCTGGGGCTACATACAAGGGAGTTCCAACGCAATTCATTGGAGTTCTATTGTATTATACTAATAAAATACTTTGATTGTGATTCATCCAATGTGATTGCCATTCCAAAGTCGATGATTTTTGGTTCAGAATTCAAATCTTTTTTACTAAATAAAATGTTCTCTGGTTTAATATCCCTGTGGATTATGCCCTATTCGTGCATGTAAGCCATTGCTGAGAGCACCTATTGATCAATTTAAAATGATTACCTTGAGGGCAATTTTTTAACATTGCTTTTCTGTTAATGAATTTTAATGTTATGGAAATCTCTTCAAAATTTCTCCTCCTCCACAGTACTCCATACAGATGTAGAAGTTCATATTGTTTTAATAAACTTCGTAAAATTTAACAATATTTGGATGATCAAGTTTTTAAAGCACATAAATCTCATTAGATAGCTATGTTTCTTTCCCTTAAAGTTTTGCTTTTTCTACAATCTTTATTGCAAACAACTTCTCATCGTTTGATTTCATCTTGGCCATCATAACCTTTCCAAATACTCCCAAGCCCATCATCTTTCCAAAAGTGTAGATTTAATGAATGTCTGTTGTGGATGTAAATATATTCACTCCATTAGATGTTTTGATGACTTATATCTTATTTAGTTTATTTGATTTTATACAGCAACCCATTTAATTTAATTAATACATCTATTTGAGTAAAAATTTTTGCTTTAAAGATTTGATGTATTTTGATTTTAATTACTCTCTATATTTAATAATTGGATATTAACAAAAAATCAATAACGAAAGATGGAAGTTCCCTTTTCTTCCTTAATCTACTCATCAATTTCAATTACTCCTAATTTATAGCTACTTCAAGCATTAATTAATTTAGAAAAAATTTCTAAAGTTAATTTACACAAGTTTTCTCTTTTTCTATTAGAAAATAAAAGCCTTGTAGGAGTTAAAAATGAATAAATTATGAACGAGATTATAATACAATCTCTATGCAGAGAGTTTAATTATAAAAGTTTCAAATATGGATTTTAAAATAATTCATGTATTATATCTATTTCAGAGTATTTAAGAAAATAAAATTGAATCTTCTAATCCACTTTAATCCTTAATAAACGATTCCTTTGTTATACCTAATAGAAAAGTTAATGCTCATTTTTATTTCCACATTGATAATTTAAGCTTGTAATTCATGCCAACTGCAGATATAGAAAATTATGAAAGGTTTTCTAATAATATAGCAAATTAATATATTTAGTTATTGAGGCCATAATGATCAGAATAGGATCTATCGTATAGTGGTTAGTACCTGAGGCTCTAACCCTCAAGACCTTGGTTCGAGTCCAAGTAGGTCCTTTTTTTAATTAGTATTTTTTTGAATAATAATTTAAAAACATAATCAGATATAAGCAGCATATGTATCTTAATATTACAAAAATCAATCATTTTACAATATAATTAAGCAGGCTTAGTAAAGCATTATGCTACTTCAAAATAAAATTTTCTGTTCTAAATCAAATAGCGTTTCATTTTAATTTGAGCTTGATTTATTCCATTTGTAGTTTGAAGCCTAACTTCTTAGAAGAATTTAGATATATTATGATATTAGATGGAGGAACCGTTAAAGAAAAAGTTATGGATAAGAAATGAAAAGAAGCAATTAAATTTTGAATAGCAGCGAAAAAATTGAACAATAATATAAAGGTACCTAGAGTAGCAAATAAATAAAGCGGATAAGAATAAGATAATGACAATTACTTCGCAATCATCAAAGAAGAATGTGGTTTGGATGTAGTGTTTTTTAGACTGCATAAGAACTTAATTAGTTATAAAATCAATTAGAATAAAATCAAAGTAAGGAAACAAAATTCTTTTTTTAATTAATATAGGAAATCAATTTATTGAGTCATTGCTTTATTCATTATGATTATTAAAATTTAAAGTTCTCTTTTATCTGCTACCTCTTCGAAACATTAAATGAGTTTTTGGAGGCTCAAAGTAATCGCTATTTAAATTAGGCCTTTCCTGTGGACTTTTAGATATGATATTAAATTGTTTTCTAATTGGAATCACTTTTACTTCTTTGGCTCCTTTTGGGGACATTTATGTTTACTTTGAACTTATTCTGAACATAGCCTAATTCTAATTTAATGTTCCTAGAAATTATATAGGAATATTTCTATTAGACATCTGGTTTTCTCTATCAAAAAATGGATGTTGCAACAATTATTAGCATGTTCTAAATTTGGATCCTTAGTTAAATATTATAGATAAGAAATCAAAACATTAATCTGATAAAGGAGGATCAAGAAATTAGAAATCTGCAGTTCCTTAAAATTTATTCATCAGAGCATCGCCTAATGCTTAATCAAAATGCATTTGATTCCCTGTTAACAAATTATGCATCACAATGCCCAAGGCAAGGACATCAAGTTTAATATAATATTATCTCTGTTTCTCTACATTTACTTATAAATATTGATAATCATCTTGTTCCAAATTAGTATGTTGCTCAGCATGAGTGAGACCAATTAAACAGGGATTAGATAAATCATCCTTCTATTTAAGAATAACGTTCGAAGTACAAATTTATTTATGATATATGTTGAGATCATGTAGATATTAGACTGCTTGAAATAGAGGTTTTATGACAATTAACACTTACTCTTCTTTTAGAGGTTGCGAGTTTTAGAAGAATTGTGATAGCTTCTATCCTTTTAAGTATTCCTCTAACATATAAATATGGTTGTTGCTTTCAAAAACTTCGTAAAAGTGGAGTAAATGAGGATGTTCTAGTTGCCGTATTATTTTCAGCTCTTTTAAAAATTTCTTTGATTCATAATTATTTGTCAACAACCTTTTTTTATCAAATACTTTAACAGCAAATTCCTATTTGCTTACTTTATTCTTTGCCCTATATACCTATCAATTAAATTAAAACGAGACATACTATTGTTGAATATCCTTCTCCTAATTTGTTAAAGAGTTAATACTTCTAACCAAAATCTAGTTAGATAGTGTGCTTCTTTATTAAATTTATCCATTCATCTAATTAGCCAAACATTTCAAAACTTGCCCCATTTTTACTAAGCTTAACTCCAAATAGACCTGTCTTGGGATGAACTATTTTCTGCATACAAACATTCGTCAAATTTATGTATTTCTAATTAAGTACAGAATTTCATTACATCTTCTCCTAATTTAATAAAATTTTGGCATATTGACAACTATTTTATTATTAACCTGTTTTGATGACTAATTTAAAATTCGCTTGAATATTGGGCTATAAATGGATCAGGACAAGATTTTTGAAATAAAGAAGTATGATTATTGAAAAAGGAATCAACTGAACAAATTTATAAAAGTTGTTGCTTTATCATAATATAATAATTGTTTATTAATTGTAATAAAGAAATAAATTGAAAGTCTCTAAGTGTTAGAATATTCTTTACTTTAAAATAATTGCATCTCAAAATATTATTATCTTTTATAATTACCTTATACAAATACTTAATTTATTATAGTAGATAAAGGGTTATAGTAAAATGAAATTTAAATAATCCACATATATTTGGAAAATATATAATATCTTATACATATCCTTTAATAAAAATGATTAGTTAATGATAGAAATATATTATTGGTCTATTTGTGAAATAATTTTAATTAAAATTTTAATTTAAACATACATAATCTCTGATAATATACAAATTTGATATTAAAACTGGAAAAAGTTTGAGCCCGTTTGATTAAATATTTTTAGTTTAAGAGCTACGACAAGCAAATTCCTTTAATAAATTCTATCTTTCATCTATGTCAAAAAGAGGATCAGCATGAATTTAATTTTATTAGGTTTAGTTTTTTTGTAGATTATTTAATTCAAAATATTAGACTTAATTTAGTTTAAGAAACTGTACCATAAACATTCTATCAATCTTTAATTGTGTTTAATCCAATTATAACTGAATTTGGTATTTGAAATCAAGATATTTTACATAATAATTTTTATTTTTTCATTTTTACTGTGTTTAATATGCTGTCTCTCATAATTTAATTATCTGCAACTTCAAGTTATCCTTCTTATTAAATTATTACATGTTACAAGGTATTTAACCAAACGACTCAATATAATCTTCAAAAAATGGATTAGTTAAAATACTGGTATTGTAGTTTTCGGATCATACTTTTCAATATATATCTAACAAAGTTAAACATTATATTTTAATTATCAAATACAAATTCTTATAATGATTATCTTCTAATATAAAACCAATTCTATTATAAAAATTAACTTATATGAATTTTTATGTGCTGATGACTTTTTGCATCTTGCTCAATAAAGTATTAGTGAGTATTCCCTAATTATTAATACTTATATTATTTCTAATAAATGATGAATCTTATTATGATGAAATTTGTTAAGATAAAATTAAAGTTAGAATATTTTTAGTTTAATAACTGATACTTAAATAAGTGATTAATATTATTTAGCATATGAATCTGAATAACACCTAAATTCTGCTAAAAATATATCCAAAAACATTAAAAATAACTTAAATCTCAATAAACAGAATTTTAATCATAAATTGATTAAGATATATGCAAATAAATAAATTTATGGAATGTTAAAGAGTTGAGTGATATCCATTTGAATATGCCAACTTTTATAATTTAATTTGATGCTTTTAAAATATTTAAAGATGGAGCATAAATAAACTCTAAAATCTCTAGTAGAATAAGAATGTTCTTGGCTGTTATTCAATGTTTTAAGCTTAATTTGAGGTTTTAGAGCAAACTTACAAAAATAAAACTTTAATTAAGATGCCACTTGTTTTGAGTTAAAATATATTAATGATTAATTAAATAAGCTTTAATTACAAGTAGGAAGTGCATTTGGGTGCTACAAAATATAAATTCCAAGAAATTGTGATTTATAATTATTAATAAAAAGCCTCACATAGAAGAAATACATTTTAAATCTTTTATTAAAAATATATTTTAAAAAAAAAATATTATGGCTGACTTGAAAGAAAAGAAAGTAGAAGACGAATAATAAACCAAAAAAATTAGAATGATCGTTACATCCAGAAGCGCTTAAGATTTAGAAAATTTCACTACTTAAGTTATTGAAAAGGCTAGAGGAATTTAAGTAATGAATACATTTCAACATTAAGAGAGATTAAGGATAACAAGTTGTATTCAAAGGACCAGTCAGAATGCCAACAAAACACCTTAAAATGACTGTCAGAAAGAGTCCATGTGGTGAAGGTTCAAAGACTTGGGATAGATTTGAAATGAGAGTAATACAATTATATAAGGATTAGATTCACAAAAGAGTAATTGATTTCTAATGCACATTACCAACTTTCAAAGATATAACCAACTTCAAGATTGGCCCAGGAATTAATGTTGAATTAAACGTAGAATAATGATTCGTGACATTATAAGAAATAATACATTAAACATCAATACATTAATTTATATCTCAGTCACTCAAAGAACTTTATCAACAATAATCAATAAATTGTAGTGATTATTTTATGCAATTATTTTGTTAAGCGAAATAACTATCGAAATCATAGCCGGTTAGAAACTATCATTCTAATTAGAAAACGACTCCAAAAGTTGATTATTTTATTTCAAAAATTCAAATGCTCTCTATCTCTGGTTTAAGATATAATTTTTTAATAATAATTAATTTAATTTATACAATTTGTAAAAAGAATAAATGGATAATGAATTATTGGTTTTAATTCTTGTTTAGCTTTTGGTTTTATGAGTCCATTCAATTATAATTGCAAAGGTACGAGGAAGAAAATAAAATATATCATCAAAGACAATGCTAAAATTTATAAATTTGTATTTAACTTGCAAGTCAATAATCTGTTATTTGCGGTTACTTAATTATAGACAGGCATTGTAGGTTTTTAATTAACTTTATTGTTTCGAGTTTATTATAATAATATTAATTGCTAAATTGAAATTTTACTTTTATAAAATTTAAGCCTGCGCTATATTTCAAAGTAAGATGTTAAAATAAACCAACATGAGATGAAGTAATCATGCTAAAGAACATTAATTATGATAATCATGCAATTTAACCTTTTTAACTTACTTGTAGAAACATTATAATCAATATAAAAGGAGCTAATTAAATTTAATTATCTTAAATTTTACTAGATAAGCATTGAAATTTTAAGTAAACATGAAAATGCAGAAAAATATTTATCTATTATAAATTATACATAATATTTTAAATAAAATTCTTTGAATAATACAATAACTAAATTCTATATTATTAAAAATTTCTCTATGAATTTAATACAATTTGTAAGAATGTAGAAAAAATTTGATTTTAAATGAAATAGCACTCTCCTTTTGATTAATTCAGTCATAATCTACTAAGTTTAATTAGGAATTTTCAAAGGAATTCCAAGTTTATAATTTTCCAATTTAGTTCTGTTGACTATACTATTATAATTTGAGTAGCTTTTCTGGTATTTAAGAATACATTAAAATCTAGCTCTAACATGAGTATTTTTAGAGTGATAGTAAATTGTCACCTAATCTATGAGCATATTTATGGGAGAGATTGGTAAAGGTATCAGTCATAGACAACGTGGCCGAGTGGTTAAGGCGGCAGACTAGAAATCTGTTGGGGTTCCCCGCGTCAGTTCGAATCTGGCCGTTGTCGATTTTTTTTGTTAATTTAATATCATAAATTTTATATCTAATTTAATTAATTTTAGGTTGAAGGAAAAGCATAAATTATATTAAATATAATATGTTAAGGTTTATTGGAAGGAATCTGAATCGCTATAATTTTTCAGAATTACAAAAATTTGGTAACTCTTTTCTTGCTGGTTCTAATGCAGAATATTTGGACAATTTATTAGATAAATGGTCTCAAGATCCAAATTCTGTTCCAGCTACTTGGGATGCATATTTTAGATAAGTGTGCGAATCCAATAAATTTGAATTTACTCCTGAGCCCTTGAAGGGATAGACAATTTCATTTTAAGCAGATGTATTGTTGCATGTAATTTCCAAGCAAGCGTCAAGTGCCAGAAAATTGTTATCAGATCATTTTAGAGTGAGATTATTAATCAACAAATACAGACATAGAGGTCATGAAAAATCCATGGTTGATCCACTAGATTTGGAACACATCTAGCAAATAGGAAAGGTTAAAGGGTATACAAAATTGGATTATCGTGAATATTTTACAGAGGAAGATTTAGACAGAGAATTTTATATTCATGATGAAGTAAGCTCAGGTATATCCAAAGAAAAATAACGTAATTATTAGATTATTAATGTAGTTATGAAATTGAGAGATTTAATTAATTATTTAGAGAAGGCGTATTGTGGTAAAATATCTTATGAATATATGCATATTTAATCAACAGAGGAAAGAAATTGGATTAGGGAATAGATTGAGAAGTTTGAGGAGTTTCTACCTTCTAAGGAGCAGAAGTTGAAAACTTTTGAAAGGTAAGACATCACATATTATATGGATTAGACTTGGATAAGAACATGCATTTAGTACATTTTTACAGAGGAAATTTAATACCTCAAAGAGATTTGGTATTGAAGGATGTGATTCGATGATTTCAGGATTATAAGCAATGGTAGATAGTGCTGCTCAAGCAGGAGTGGAATATATAGTATTTGGAATGGCTCATAGAGGAAGATTGAATACCTTGTATAATGTTTTTTAAAAATCACCTGAAGAGATTATGGTTGAATTTTAGGATCTAAAAGGAATATATAATGAAGACATTTGGGGTAATTCCGGAGATGTAAAATATCATTTGGGAAGTGTACACAACGTTCAATTTGGAGAAAAAAAACTAAGATTAGAAATGCTCCCAAATCCTTCTCATTTAGAAACTGTAGATCCCTGTGTATATGGCAAAGTTAGAGCGATTTAAGATTATCATAAGGATAGAAATGGAGACAAGGCATTCGGAGTATTGATTCATGGGGATGCTGCAGTTGCTGGTTAGGGTATTGTTTATGAGTCATTACAAATGGCAGATTTAGAAGGATATAAATCAGGTGGCATAATTCATATAGTGTCAAATAATCAAATTGGATTTACTACAGTGCCCAAAGACAGTAGATCAGGTTTATATTGCACAGATATTGCTCATGCTATTTAAGCACCTGTAATCCATGTCAATGCTGATGAGCCTGAATTAGTAGATAAAGTATTTTAAGTTGCAACACTTTATAGAACAAAATTCAAAAGAGATATCTTCATCGACTTGGTTGGTTATAGAAGATATGGACATAATGAATAAGATCAACCCAAGTTTACTCAACCAATCATGTACGACAAGATTGAGAAAACTCCACCTGTTTTTGTCAAATTTGCAGAGAAATTGATTGCTTAAGGGATTGTCACAAAGGCTGAGGTAGATCAATTGATGAAAACACATGAGGACAATCTAGAAGTAGCTTATCAAAAATCAAGGAAAATGGACTATAATTTGAAAGATTGGCAACCTGTTCCTTGGGAAATGATAAAAGTACCAACACTTTGGGGTAGAATAAAAGATACTGGAGTGCCAATTAATATTTTGAAACAAATTGGAGATAAAATAAATAAAATACCATCTGAATTTAATGCTCATCCATAAATACGTAAGTTTTATGAGGAGAGACTCAATTCAATATAGAAAGATTAAGGAGTTGATTTTGCAACTGCTGAAGCTCTGGCATTTGGAACACTCCTTCATGAAGGATTTAATGTCCGATTATCTGGTGAGGATGTTCAAAGGGCTACCTTCTCTCATAGACATGCTGTTATTCACGATTAAAAAAATCCAAATGGCCCCTCTTTTGTTCCTTTACATGCAGTAATACCAAAAGGCTAAGAAAATGATAGATTAAGCATTTATAATTCTCATTTATCAGAATATGGAGTATTAGGTTTTGAATATGGATATTCTATTACTAATCCAAATACATTAGTACTTTGGGAAGCTCAGTTTGGTGATTTTGCTAATGGAGCACAAATCATTATTGATAACTATATTGCAAGTGCTGAATCTAAATGGGAAGTTGATAGTGGATTAGTTATGCTATTACCAAATGGAATGGATGGATAAGGACCAGAACATAGTTCAGGAAGAGTGGAACGATTTTTACAATTAAGTGATGATGATCCTGCTGTCTTTGAAAGAAATCTAGGAGGTAATTAAATGCAAATATGTATTAAGTTCGGCTTAAGAGATAGATGAGAAATTCAAATATGTAAATTGTTTAATGCACTACACCTGCTAATTATTTCCACTCCCTAAGAAGATAGTTGAGAAGGGATTTCAGAAAACCACTTATAGCCATGACTTCCAAAAAACTGTTGAGACTCTAGGCTGCTAAATCTAAATTAAATGAATTCTCTGAATAAGCCAGATTCTCTTAAATCTATGATGATCCTTTCCCTGAATAAATTGATGAACCCAGTTAAATCCAAAGAGTCATCTTGTGTTCAGGATAAGTCTATTATGATATTCTTAAGAAAAGAGAGGATCTAAAAGTTAAAGTAAGCTATTGATCTTATTAAGAATACTGCTATCGTTAGAATTGAATAATTAGCACCATTTCCATACGAATTCTTATAAGCTGTTATCTAAAAATACAAGAAAGCTCATTTCGTTTGGGTCTAAGAAGAACATCAAAATTATGGACCTTGGTCCTTTGTTAGGCCAAGAATTTAAAGTGTTATCTCAAAAACTTAAGGCTTAATTCAATAGCAAGTTTAATATATTGGAAGGAAACCAAGTGGATCACCAGCTACTGGATTCCATTAACTTCACGAAAAAGAAGTTCAAGCCTATTTAGCCAAGGCTTTTGAATTCTGATAAATTGTTACAATTTAAATAACAATTCTAAATACAGTTATTTTGTTTCATCATTCTTTGTTGTTTTCAATTAAATATTATTTGTGTTTTAAAGCATGTTTATCTGTTATAATGAATCTAATAAAATATCACAATTAATAATAGACCTGTTATAATGAAAAATAAAAATCAACTTTCATGAAAGAACGATAATTCAAGAATATTTGTCATAAGTATAATTAATACGATAACTAATTTATTAGTATATACAAAAATCATAAATTTCTTATTTTTTCTACTCCATTAAATATATAATTTGTTATCCTCATGATAACTTGTTCCTTTTATTATTGTACATTTTTGTATGAATGATGAGCATATTTTCCGAATGTCTTGATTATTTGATATCCTTATTGTAAATTGCATTCTCTAGGTTATTTGCGTTTTATTAATTTTGGTTTATATCTATAATGGTAAACTGGTAAAGAAGGGATTTTTTCTTCTGCATAATTCTCAACAGTATTTTGTAATTGGAGATTTTATTAGCCTTAAAATGATGAGATTTATTCATTTTATGGAGCAATTTCAACTTGATCTGACATTATTTAAATAGGGTAAATTTTGTCAAAATTAATTTCTTCATCATCATCATCATCAGATGCTAAATTGAAATCAACAATAGAGGTTTCTGAATTAGAATCATCCATTTCTTTAAGCAACTCGTCCATTTTTAATTAAATTATGTTAGAACAATTTGATATTTGTTTGGCATAAAAATTATAGAAGAGAAAAAACTGAAAAATAATGTTTAATTTTTATTTATTATTTAACAAAAAACTAAACAAAGAAACGGATTTTATCTTAAATGAGATTTTTAAAAAGAAATTGTTTAAATTATTTTGACTTAAATTTAATATTTGTCATTTTATCATTTTTTTTCGTATTTAATTTATAATTAAAATTGAATTTCAATTTAAATCCTATTTCAGAAGTTATTTAGTTTGATAGAAAAATATCTATATGATAAAGCTTTAACAACAAACTTAAAAGTCTAATTGAGTTTTCATTTTATACGATTAGTTAAAATTTAAATAACAAGGCAATAACTTTTCCTTATTATTTTAAAAGACATTATAATAAGAAAATATTATTTCAAAAAACTTAAACCTGAATTATCATTTAATTAATCATTTTTTTTTGCTTTACATAACATACTCAATGCTTTGTTTGGGGTTATAAACAAGTCGAAATTGATTGCCTGTTTAGATATTTTACTATAAGGCCTTTAAAATGTCAGTTGGATTTGAATAGAGAAAAACGAAAGATAGATGAATAAGTGATTACGAATTTGTTGAAATTATACATTATGATATGATTAAATTAAGCTATGATTTTACAAATTAAAAAGTGAAGTCTTTCACTTTAAATAAAGAGATATGAATATAACTAAATAATTCATACTTTGCAGCAACAACATGTTTTCTCTCTAGCTTTCATACTACGGGAAGTAATATGCTGGTTCAAATGAGCATAACATTGGGATGACCATTGCTTCACATCTAATTAATACAATTTTTTCGACTGGTCAGGATTAAGATCAAGAGCCTCGAGCACAGTCTCCAAAAATCTAAGTGAGGATTAGTATTGGAGTTCTAAGTGAAGACCTTCAAGTGTCTTTAAATATATTTATTAATACCTTGATATCCTTGTAAAGAGTATTAGCAACATTTTCTGGAGTAGTATTATATATAGTGTAAAAATCTTACGTAGTAAAGTTGATTTAGATTAAGTTATTCAAAATAGTATTTAGGCATTACATCATTTCCTCAAACATACTTAAGAAGTTTTCAAGCAATTTGAGTTTCTCAGAGATTGGCATTATACCTATCAAGTTATGATATCAAATAACCTGCCATGTTTTCCATAAATCTTTATTCCGTGTATTAACCATAATATTCTAAGTATTGAATTTTGTTCTTCTCAATAATTTCATATGATGATTAACTAGGTTCGCTAGGAACAACAGAGAAATGTGCCTTAGACGTTTGAGATTAATGGAGTCTCTAAACAGTAGTTTGATCAGGATCAACTATTGAAATTCCATTTTAAGGGATTGTTGGAAATATTTTTTTCATAAAAAATTATTTTTATTAATATACTTGTTAAACAAAATGAGCAATATCCAACCTCTAAATCTTAAAACATTTAATCGGTTATTCTATATATTAAGTTAATAAATGCTAACTCTTTTTTTTCCAGTATCTAAAGATAATATGAAAACTTTTATTTTTTAATTCGAATATGCAACATTTAATCTATTCCAAGAACTTTTTATCATAATATAAATGGGATTAGTATTGATTTTATCAAATTTCTATATATAGATTTAATTAATATAGTTGTAAACTCTATTTGAATGTTAGAAAGGAGCTTTTATAATAACTAATTTAAGATATTGTCCAAGCAATTTTATATATGATCTTGAATTTACAAGAGTTTTTGAATAAATAAAAATAATTCAATAAGCCTAAGCCTGAAATTTAAATGTCAAAATAGATTTTAATTTAAAATATATTTATTCATTAAGTTTAATAAACTTTGTGAATTCTTAATGAGATGATGATTTATTTGAGAATCTTCTTTATTTTTAGTATACTATGATTGGTAATATTTACGAATCATACTCTAGCGGGTTAAGTGTAATTCTTAAGTTTCATTATAACATAAATGATATAAGTATAAAATTAATTATAAATTAAGAGAATTGCTTTCATATTTATGTATTTTTATAAACGAGCATAAAATTCAGATATGTAATAAAATTTAATCCCTTAATCTTTGCCTGTATTTTAAGTAGAGTATGATTTCATAAGCCTTCTCATAATGTTCATTTGAGATATCATTAATAATTTATTTTGTCATTTTTTCAATCTCCCTACTATTCTTTTGATTAATTTAGGTTATATTTTCCCCTCTTTGCACTTGGGATTATAATTCTAGGATTTCTTCCATAAATTCTAGGTCCAATAAAACACTACATTCCTTAATTTAAAACCCCCTTAGAGATAACTAAATTACATAGATATATTACAATGTACTCAGCTCTCTCATGAATATTTTTCAAAACTGAGTAAGCTTCATTAATGAAAGCAGAATATTCTTGACTGTAAGAAATATTGATTGGTGGCATAGTCACAAATCTGTCAGGATGAAATTTTAATTGCAATGATCTATATTTATCTTCCAAATATCTGGTCTCTACATTAATATTAATCGGCAAATCGAAAAGCTCAAAGTAATTGACATCCTATAATTGGATGGATGGCTCTTTTAAATATTTGCACTAGCCACAAATAAATCTGTTTATAAACTCATTTGACTTACAATTCCAACAAGTGACTTTTGAGGGAACAAATTTACTAAAAGAAAAGCGAATTAAAGATTATAGCATAAATAATAATTTATTTTATTAAAAAGTATCAAAAATAGATAAAATTAAGAAAGAAAGAAAGTGATTAAAGAATTATTGATTTACAACATATTTAACAAATAAATTTGGCAGATCTTTAACAAAATCTACTGTGAATAACAAAATTAATATATAAGATCGTTCCATTTATAAAATACTATTATGCCTTCCAATATTATTGATAATAATTGTCATTATGCTTAAATATTCTTAATTATAATATGTATTTAATTAAATTTTGTATAAGTCAGTGTAAGTATCCTATTATTTGCACCTACAATTCCACTAGTTGAATTTAGAATTTATACAAAATTAGTATTGAAAATTAAAAGAATCTCAATAAATATTGAAATTAAGAAATTCGGCAGTTGGAATACCAAAATCTTATTCTATTTTGGAAGAGAGAGCATGATAATAAATTGCCTTATTATCTCTGTGGAATACCATTTGCACTTTAATATAAATAATACCATTTCTATTACACTGTTTATCAATTCTTCAGATGAATGATTCTTTAAATCATAATATAACGTCTAGTTCTGTGATCTGCTTTATTACATATAAGATTGTCACATGATGAATTATGTAGAATCTATGTTAGTTATTATTCAGTTATTGGCAAACTATTGGTTCAATCAATTAAAGTATTTTTATAGAGATTGATCAATTGTTTATTGAGCAATTTGAAATTTTACAATAGTGTAATCTAATTTTTCTTACAATTCTTATTCATTATTTAGCATGTCTAAATGAAAGGTTGGCCTTTATCAAAATTTCCATCTCGCCACTTGATTGATTATTATGGATAGAACACTCATGTATGGGAAATCGTAGGTTCATGAAACTATTAATAATTTCTGAAAATACTATGACATTTTTGATTCCCATAATTAATATTTATATGATTGATCAATAAATAAGGAAACGATAGGCAAAGAGGGAATAATGATGATAATTTTATGAAAATCATGAATAACTGAATGGAATTCTGCTTCTCTGATATTTATTTTTTATATGGACAAATAACTGAAATATATTAAGGAATCTCCTATATCTTAAAAATAGTGTTTGAGGGTACCAAAGTACAAAATTATCTGCTGTTTCTTATTATGGATATTGCTGCTCGTATACCTCATTAAAGAATGGAATAATCAGTTACCCAAGATCATCATTTCAAGAATTTATCAAACGGACATCTTATCATAGAATAAGGGTATTTAATTGAAATTTCTGTCTCAACCTCTTTAATCCTTTGATAATGTACTTATCGTAATTCATAATACAAATGGAAGTGATTAATAATTAATCTAATCCAACAAAGAAGGATCTTACAATATTCCTTTTGGATAATTTGAAATATAGATATGCAATGAATCAAATCACAATATTACTTGTGCAAATCAAAATTAAATAGCAGCCATATTGGGTGATTCAATAGAAATAGAAATTTTATTGCAAATTACTCAATATAATTATGAGGAGTAGACATTTTATTAAGTACCCAAATCCTTAAAGTATTACATTCATAAGAATACTCAACAACTTGGCTATTTATAATACTAAATAGTATCGACTGAAATTAGGAGCAATGATCTTTTTACGTAAAGTTAAACTTATACTCAAATAGAAGATGCTGCACTGACTTTTTCATCTGTGAATTATGCATCATACACTTTGAGTAAAATGAAGATCGGAGTGGATCCAATAATCACTAAGAAGGTTGTTGTTTACGACAAATTTTATGTCTTCGCACTATAACTCATATCAATGAGTTCAATTATGTATTTCGTAAACTTGATGTTGAAGAATCTCTAAAGAATCAAGAAGAAGAAGTTGAAACTTTTGGAAATCATATCGATTTACTTTCCTTAGATCTAGGATTATAAAATTACATTTAATTTCTTAGGGTAAATTAGTTCTGTGACCACTCTGGATGGTGAAATCAGAAACCTAAGGCAGTGGAGATAGTTTTATTAAAAATATTCGCAATCTGCTAAAGAAAAATTGAAATTAAAGAATGTCATTTATTATATTTCAAGGTAAATGTGATCAATGATTGTAGATTACAATACATATGTATGTCCTTATAGGATAGAGACACGATAATGAATGCTCACACTCTGGGAATCAAATTAAATTTGCAACAGGAAATTCAAAATGAAACAACTACGATAGAGTTAAATGAGATAGATGATCCAATTGTTCTAAGGGGAACGGACATGGATTTGTTGAGCCAGCCTACTGGACCGATATTTCTGGGAGATAGCAAAATTGCATTTTATAAGAGAAATAGGGGATAGAATATGAATAAGAAGTTTTAGTTGATTTGATTTTAAAATTTAAGATTTTATTTTGCTTTAAAATGTCTTAAAAGAAGCCACAAATGCAAGTTGAGTAAGTTTTTGGATTAGATGGTGTAGATAAAAGGTTCCAGAAAACATAGTGAAGAAGAGTGCAAGAGACACCAAATTGAGAGAAGCTGTTGCTAAGAGAAGAACAGAGAGATTAGCTGCAAACAAAACAAGAAGAGCTTAATGGGAAAAGAATGCTTAAGCTTATGATAACGAATACAAAGCTGCAGATAAGAGCCTAGTTGATAGCTTACGTAAGGCAAAGAGCGAAGGTGGATTCTATGTACCAGCAGAATCTAAATTGATCTTGGTGGTAAGAATCAGAGGGTATTGAATTATGATATATATTACAGTATCAACACCTTGAATCCACAAGTCAGATAAACTTTGAGACTTTTGAAATTGAGATAACTTCACAATGCAGCCTTTGTCAGAGTCAACAAGGCTACAATTGAAATGATCAGAAAGGTCGAGCCATATGTGACCTATGGATATCCATCAAGAGCTGTCATCAAGAATCTGATTTACAAGAGAGGATATGCCAAAATTAATGGTCAAAGAATCCCACTCACAAACAACAACATTATTGAATAATAATTAGGAAAGGTTGGAATTCACAGCATTGAAGATCTCGTCCACGAGATTGTTACAGTAGGAGCTCATTTCAAGGAAGCAAACAGATTCTTGTGGTAATAAATTCATTTATTAAATTTTAAAGGGCATTCAAATTGAGAGGACCAAGAGGTGGCTTTATTGCTAAGAGAAGATCATTCATCAACTAAGGTGATTGGGGAAACAGAGAAGATCTCATCAATGATCTTGTCAAGAGAATGATTTGATTGAACATTAATTATATATACATTAATAAAAAATATCAATTAT